TTTGATTAAGGTACTCTAAGTCAGATAAGGCAAAACTAGTTCAGATCAAAGCATAATTCCTAAGAGATTTGAAAGCATTACCAAGTGTTAGATTTTTGAGTACTGCATACGGGAAACACCAATGGCTCCAGCAACTGAAATCAAAGCCACGACAAAAAGAGAGCAGGACGGCAATGGAGTGAAAAGAGGGAGCTTGGGGTCGAGGTGGATCTGCACAGCTGCTCCTCTCCTCTCCCAAGTTTGGGTAACTGATTTAATGCCTTGAATCCACACGCAGGAGAATGACACATTTAAATCTGCACTTAGCAAACTGCAGGGGACACTGAGAAAGCCAAGCACACAGTCAACACTCAGTAACTGAAGATGACAGTGATAATGGTTGCCTTGTCAATACCAACATCTGGATACTGAAGAGGATTGGGAAATTTGCTATCCTAACTGGTTTACACCACTTTGCTAATTCTAAGACATTTAGTGTTGTGCTTAAATCAACGTTAATATGTGGATATTATAGGTTGAATTTTGCACTTCCCTCCTCAAATTCATTTGGTGAAGCCCTTAGCCGAAGTACTTCAGATTGTGACTATATTTGGAGACAAAACCCTTAAAGAGGTGATTTAGGTTGAAATGAGGCCCTTCAACTAGTGTGTGCTTTCATCCAATCTCAATGGTGTAGCAGTAAGAGGAGAAAACTTGTACAGAGCGACACTTGGGATGCATGTGTGTAGAGGAAAGTACGTTGCCTCCCACCAGGGAAGACTGAGTCCTCAGCAGAAGCAAAGTGCTGACACCTCGGTCTTGGAGCTCCAGCCTCCAGAATCATTCGAAACACAATTCTGCTGCTCGGACCGCCCAGACTGCTTTCTTTTATGGCATTTCTAGTGAATGAACATCATGCATGAAATAATTTCTTCATCCTACTCTATAATAAAGCGATTAATACTTCATGTCAATTTACAATAGAGCAGTTGTTTGTTTAAACCTGATAATTTTGTAGTGGAAGATGATGACTATGGTCAGACTCAGACCAAGGTTCAAAGTTTAACTTCTTCACTTGTGAGTTGGATGATCTTAAGCAAGTCACCTCATTTTTATAAACCAGTCTTCTTCTTTAAAAGGGAATGATGTTTATTTGTAAGAATTAAAGAACATTCAGAAGATCTAACAAACGGCGCCTTCTGCATTTGCCAATGTCCCTGTACTCTACCAGCTTGTAGCACTGTAAAGATCACCTCAAAGAAGGTGGACTGGCTTTCATGTAAGGTGTTTCTCTTAGTGAGTCCTGACATTGAAAGGGCTTATAATTTATAATGTACCAGTCTCTTAATGAGTCTCTGCTGCTCAGTTTACCATCTGCCAATCCACCTCTACACTGTCACTTAGTTAACTCTGTGAGTTCAAGCCCACATGTATTCCCTTGCATGCAACTCCTCGGTGGTTCCTTACCCCTTGAGGAGGGAACATGAGTCACTGGTACTCTCCCTCCCCACACTCCTCTCGTGCCTCTCATATTCTAGTCCTACAAAATCACACGTAGCTCCACACAAAGCTTACTGTCTCATGCCTCCGTGCCTTGTAATCTTGTTCTACGAAATACTCTTTC